GGTGTGTGTTCATGGTGTGTGTGTTCACTGCTGTGTGTGTGCACTTTGGATGGGATAAATGCAGAGCACTAATTCCTAGTATGGATCACCATACTTGGCCACATGTCACTTCACTTTTGCTTTTGGGAAAATTGGAAAAGAGAGGTAGCTCATTCTTATGTCTTTTAATTCCTTTGAATCAAACTCTTTGAAAATATGGAGACGTCTTAGTCGATTTGGGTAAAGTCTACCGGTATTAATGAAAATGCTGATTTTTGATCTCTAATAGAATAAGTACCCTAAACACAGAGATGGATCTGGGAATCTCACCTATATGGCAGCTCACTTCTGACTGCTACGTCTAAAATGTGTGCGCGTCACGTCACCAAGCGTCTCTTTGAACCAAAGAGAGGAACAGCGCGCCCCCGAGCGTACACAAACTCCGTGTGCTTGCCACACAGTTGTCATCTTGAACATGCCACAGAAATTATAGACGCTATGCGATGCATTGTTTCTCACCGACGACGATGAAAAAATCCTGAGCGCGATTTCATCGGTGCACGGGCATTAACATGCCGAACTTTGGGCTGGTTTTGAAGGAAGTGAGCTTTTGGGTTCCGGTGACGAACTGCTTTTAATTTTGGCTGTCAGGAAACTCGCTGCGCTAAAGATTCATTCTAGCATCTGCTGCTTATCTTCAACAACATTACGAGAACGCCTGGACTAATGTCGCCTCAAGAGCCCCTCTCCTGCCTAACATTACTACATCCGCTCGTGCGTCCGTCTGGGAGCGCATTTCTCGCACTTTTTACGAGTTTTAACTTTCGCTGAGTTTAGCCGTCATCAACGGAAAGAGGAATTTGTTCAAGCAAGGCGCACGCTCTTTTGTGCAGATCCTCGACAGTGCGACTCCTGTGCAGTTTTCCTCGTACGTTTTTCGCTTTTACTTCGGTGAAGTGGATACATGAAGGCTGCTTTCACAGTCACATGCCTTCATTCATAATCATTTGCCGCACAATAATGCGGAGGCTGTCCATGCATGGAGCTGAGGGCTCGTTTTCTTGTTTATTTGGCTTTACAAAGTTGTTACGCACAGGATTCATTGACACAGACGGACTGTTACCGATTCGCCTTTCGATAGAAAAGTGAAAACTGTAGGTTTGTGCCGTGAGCTGGCCAGACATCGACGGAGAGGGAAAATATGCAAACCTGGCAGGAAAAGAAGCCATCAAAATTACGGAAATCCCTTCTTTTCCTCCGGTCTGCTATTACGAATGCAGTCTGTGTAAGCAGCTCGCGTATATCTGCACCATTTGTGTGATTTTTATACATTCTAAACCTTTTGGACGTGAAGTTTATTATTCAGATTTGCTTTGAACTCTCCATGCAATAGTCATTATGCTGTCTACACAAAGCTATACATATATGGACGAAACGTCAATATCTTCGTAGTCACTAGATTGCTACTTTCTCTCAGCATAAACTGGAAATTACGTGTGTGTTAAGAGGTCTCTTCTCTTGAATGGTCTGAGGAATAAGTTTGATGGGTGATATGGGAGACCCTCAGGGGTCCGCTCGCCTGGAAGCTCTTTAGCAATGGCAGCGGCCTGGAAATCTGTGGACAGTCACATTACATTAACTGTTACGTTTGTCTTCACGATATACATCGAGTTCCTGAAGACAGGACAAAAAGTGATTCTGTGAAGAGCCCTCTTTCACCTGCGTTAAGTTCAGGTGAGTACTTAAACTTAGGGTTCAGTTTGTAAATACATAAACATGCTTGAATGTGTGCAAAGTTTCAATGTGTGTTAAGCATAGCAACAGGTTGACTTGACTGATGAAACTGACATGCCCATAGTATCCCGTCGCCTCTTGTCATTCATAAAATGTGCACTAAATATGTAAACTGCATAGCAGTTACATTATTCACTAGTACTGGAAATCATGTAAACAACAACCATTATTTGCCATGGACCTAAATGGAGGTCTTCATGCTCATATATCAAGTCAAGATAAGTCACCATTTTTTCTATAGCATTTTATACAGTGCAGATTGTTTCAAAGGAACTTCACAGTAATAAACAGGAATTGAGCAGAATCAATTATGGAAAGTCTGCTATGGAGACAATTCAGATTTTGCTGTAAAGCAGCTCTAAAAGACAATAGTGTTATTATTTAGCTTATGTTAGGTCAGTGTTGGTTCAGTTCAGTTAGATAACAATGTAAAGTTAATCTATTTTGATACAAGTAATTCATCTAAAAACAGTCTCTAAGCCAGCAATGTTGTTATTCAGCTCAAGTAGGTTTTATGGTGATTCAGTTCAGTTGGATAACAGTATCGATGTTGCAAGATGCGATTCAGCTCTACAGAAGATAATATACAATGTTCATGTGTGTTAGTGTTTTACAGTAGGGAGTGCTATAGGTCAGTGTTTCCCAACCTTTTTTGTCTTATAGACCCCACAGCCCCATCAGTATGCCTAAAGGAATACGTCTTTGACAATCCTGAAATGTGTTCATGGCATCACGTGATGCTAACATAATGTCATTGTAAAAAAAATTTGAAAATCACATTTATTCTAACTAGAACTAAAAAAAAAAAAACATTAATATATTTTAGTTCTATATATATATAATCCATGCTCCTGGCAGCTGTTCTACTGACAGTTGTTCAAAATGTTCTGTGTGTGTACAGCTTATTTGCATTGTATTATAGATTACCACTCACAAGTTTATTTTCAGTAAGTTTTTTAGTGTTTAAAGACACCCCATGGCTGCATTTATTTGATCAAAAATACACTAAAAATAGTAATACTATTGTGAAATATTATTAAATGTTTAACTGAGAGTCAGTCTGCTTTTTGTGCTTTTCCTGTGTTGAGAAAATCCTTCACAACTCTCCTGTGTCAATGTGTCTTTTTGTCACAACTTTAACTTGAAAACACAGATGGTGTAAGATCTGTTTATGTATGATGTAACATGGGCTTTTTACCAGTTCATGACCTAGTGATAAAACGCTGTCTTTTCCACCATCTATAACAATTTTTCATGTCTACCCCGGAGCTGACAGGAACCGTTTAGTCTAGTCACTCAAGAGCGTTGGGAACCCTAGGGGGGATTTGTGCTGTAAGCCTCTGAATCTCTTGTACTGTAAGCCCCTCCATGAGCAAAAGCCAACAGCCTCAGTGCCAGCACCACAGCTGGGAAAACCAGCCACAGACTAAACAGCTGAAAACCAGGTGAGAGGTGGTTGGGAGCAGGAACGGTCAGAGAAATTTGTTGAGATTCTGGCAAATACTGGAAAAGGGATACAAGCAAAACAAAGCGGGTCCAGCTGACAGGGCCCATGGACGGCCTTCTCCCCTCTCCAGATTCCACACATACTTACCACAAGTTAATTAAGAACAGGAGAAACCGAAAATGAGACCCAAGACGGGGCCAGAGACTCAATAAAAACTAAATTTTTTGCTACTTCAAAAACTGCATCAAACTATTAAGTGCCAGCATACAGTACCAAAGGCAATATTATGGTGCTGTCAGTTGCCGTTTATGCATCCAAGTTTAGAAAACATATATCACAATACTGCAAAAACAATTAGCAAAAACAGCAAAGTTTCTTCCCAATGGCTGCCTCTGAAATCACATACTCTCTTGATTAGGTAAAGTAAATACATTGTGACTTCTAAAAAAGTAGGCGTTGCATCACTTCAGTGTCATTCACAAATCCTCTCCTGTGGCCTCATGGGATAGTAAAGTGTCCATCATATGCACACTTCAGAATCTCGCTGGAAGTTCATCCAGGTACTGATCTTTTATGAGTAATGTGAATTCGGACCTACTTATTCCCCTACTTCTCAAACAGTTTTTCGCCATCCATATAGTAGAGAGGTATGCAATTTTGGATGCAGCCTACGTGTTAAAGAAAACAAAGTGGTCTCTTCTGGAGAAATTGGTGCAAAATATGAATGGAAATAGAAGTTGTAGACACTTATGAAACCACTGAATTTCTTTTATTTGGTAAACATGCTTCCATCATAGTTTATTCTCGTCTTATGGAATTAGCGAGAGTGTGTGCTTTTTTGTGAACATTTTGGAAATGTATTTTGCATGTTGGTATTCCTGCTGGGCGTTTTATATTTGCTACCCCAAAATTTGCTTACAAATACATGGATGGAAACCCAGCTATTGCCTTTTCTGTATATTCAGCCTTTGCAACATTTCCTCATTACAATGTGTTGCAATTTTGAAAATATACCATAGATAAGGTACAGTTGATAGTAGAGCCCGACTGATATATCGTTTTGCCGATATGAGCCTGTTGCAGATATATCGTATCGGCGAATATGCCGCTGATATGAATTTTTTTTTTACAGAACATATAATGCAGATTAAATGCTTCTGAATGGTGTAATTACTTTGTTTGTCCAACAGAGCACGCTCCATTGTTTGCTACAGGTCAGTGTAGTGTAGCGATGCGCGGATGAGCTCAAACTTCACCCGAGTCCGCTACTTCAAATTATCCGCCCGCCACCCACTATATTTGATCGTCACATTACAATGATTCTAATTCTTAGTTTTGCATGATATGATGAATGGATGGTTAATTTTTAACAGCAGATTCAGTGACGTTAGATAATAGAGCTGATATGTGCATCACGGCACGCGTCTGCGACGCATTAAAGCCACTCAATGCTAGTGTTTACCGGCCGCGCCGCGGCCCAGAACTCATGCTTATCACATCGGTCACATCACATCGGTGTAGAATAGAACCCATTATAATCAGTGATGTTGTCTACACTGAATTTATGACGTGCTGACACAAAAGTTCAAATGATTTTCAATGGTCGCTTTGTTGCGTTCTGTTACAGCGCATACACGGTGTCAGTATAGTTTGTCAGTACAGTCAGTAACATAGCAGATTGAAAAGTTAGTATCTTTATACAGTCCAATAGACAGCAGTGCGGTGGTGGCTTGAGTCTGTTGAATGGTGATTTAATGCTACGTTCTCACCTAGTTGGAGAGACTCAATGCTAAGTAAATAAACAATGTCCCTGTCTTTTACTCTCACAATGAGCTTATCATATTCGTTTGCTACATTAGTAGGGCCCTATGATTTCCGCGATGCAGAAAACACGGACGGAATCGCGGAATCCAGTCATAAAATATATATCTATATATATATAGACTGTGTCTGTGAATATTAAACTGCAAAAAGACTTATTTAAATACGAATGTTCTGCATGTTCATTTGATTACCAGAAAATACAACACAGAATTTGTGAAAAAAATATTATTCATTATTATTATTTATTCATTTTAGATGTTTACATTTGGAAAAGCTGTGCTTCCTGCATAAACCTGCCCCTGTTGGTTTGGCAGTAGCTTGCTTGCCCTACGTAGTTACTGTGTTTAATTTCTTAATTCAAGTTATATAGGCTATATTTTGTTTTATTTGTGTTGTTATTTATAATAAGTGAAGTGAAGTTTACTGTTAGGTGCACTGATGTCAGACTCATTTTGAATAATAAAGTTTATTGTTAAATAGCCTGCCTCCACTACATAGGCCTATGTTTGTCACATGATTATAAGTGTTTGATCACCACATTTGAGTTATCATTGCAAAAAAAATGTTTGTATATATATCCTGTTTATGTAGGCTATATACTGTATTCTATATACAGTACCAGTCAAAAGTTTGGACACACGAATGGGAATTGTGTCCAAACTTTTGACTATACTGTACTATAATATAGCCTACACATAAAGAATATTGGCCGATATATCGATATGTCTTTTTTTTACTCCCTAATATCGTTATCGGCATTGGCCACCAAAAAACCCATATCGGTTGGGCTCTAGTTGATAGTGCCTATGTATTATAAAAAGTTGTATATTAAAATTTTGTAATAATATTGAAATGATAAATTAAAAGCAAGTCAGGGTTAAAATTTTCTACTTTATTTCTTAACCCACTTGACATTATTACATCTCAAAGTTTAGACTCCAGAGTTTATGCTCCAATTTAAATAGAAAGAAAGTGGTTTTATAGGAAAGCAACAAAAGATGGAAGGAGAATCTAAAGTCAGGTAGGTAGTTGAGTTGGTGTTTTACAAACTGTGAGATTTCCAGTGGTGTGGCATCACCCCATCATAAATCCATTCAGACCTTGCATCACCCTCTGTGAAGCATTATGGTGAGGGTCTGTTTAACTTAGACTTGGATTTATGTATAGCGAGACGTCAGATGGGGCCATGCTCGCTCGCTGCTCATCGAGTGTGTTCATAGGTGCAGTCGGTCAGGCCACCTGGGTGCCACTCAGGATATTTGGCTGAATGAGTGCAAAGGAATGATGTCTGACCTCTGTAATTTCTCATGGTTCAGTTGAAGCTACATGACTGGAGGCGCTGAAACAAACACTCGCATGTGCGCACACGCTCCTTACCTCATCCGTTTGGTTAATCATTTCACCACTGACCGTAAGTTTGGAAGGATGAGCAATTCTCAGCAATGTCCAGTTAGTCCTCTCTCCTCCGGTCCGCTGTAATTGGATCAAAAGAGAGTTTTGCAGGTCTGATGAAGCCCGGCAGTGAAGCACAGGCAGGTAATGTCATTACGAATGATGCAGTCCTATCCACAGCTTTGCTTTTAAAGGTCAGGATATGCTGATGGAAGCAATCTAATGAGACTTTGCTGAATTTCTAGAGTGACCATTGGTTGGTTTACCCCTCAGCAGC